CCCTCCCACTGAGCAACGCCCAGCCCTGCCTGCCGCCCGGGCGCCCCGACCTTCCCTTGCGACCCCCCGATCCGCGAGGCCCAGAAGCTCGCGCGGCGACGCAGCATGCCACCCTCGCGCGCGCGCGCAGCGGGAGCAGGCAGGAGGCGCCGCGTGCTGTGCAGCTGCGCCACCGCGCGAATCCGCCACCGTGCTCGGGAGGGTGCCCGAGGTCGGAGGCGCGCCCATGGACGGAGAGCGAGAGGGGGCGGGCCTCGTCAGAAGGCTGCGTGGCTTCTCGGAAGCCCTCCGGGCTTCTGAGAAGCCGCCTGCGTCTTCGGAGGAGGCTTAGAGCTATTTGTCAGAGGGCCGGAGGCATTCCGAGTCTCCCGAGAAGGCCCGCGCCTTCTGACTTCCCCCTTTGGGTTCGCCGCCGATGTGGGAGGGAGGGTGGGCTACGTGGGGGCGGTGTCCTGGGGGGGATAGGTTCTTTGGAACGACATACCCGAACTTCTGCTTTTGGCACTGTTGGCGCGCGCATGCGCGTATTAGAAGCGAGAGATACGGCATGCTGTACGGAGTGGCGTGACAGCGCGGCCATTGCAGGGGACCTTCCGGACAACGAGAGGAGGGCCGAAGCATGCGCAGCGCGTGACAAACGCTCAGTTCAAACACGCGCACAGTGCACACATTCGTTTGGGGATGTAGCATGCATGCTTTAGGCGGGTACAGCTACACTCACACGGCTTCGCACACAATTCCTGCTGGCGCCTGCGCTTGCCTGCGCTCATGCTTCCGCGTACGCTTACGCGCGTGCGCGTGATTCCAGTATTGTCCATGTCGGCGTTCCAGTCTTGCGTGCGTCCGAGACGTGCGCATTTGAGACGCTGTAGGGTTTGTCGGGCCTTGCGCTTTTGACTTTCCTGTCCTGCGGCTGGGAGGCCCTGCGCGGCAGCGGCTGGGCGGACGTGGAGATCGTGGTCTCGGCCCCGGGCATCCGAGACAGCAGGATCGCCCACGTCCCCCTCGACGCGAGGTGGAGGGAGCGCTCCGCGGCTGCAGACGCGCGAGGGATCACGGGCGCGCAGGCACGGACGCGCTGGCGCGCGTTTTTTTTTGTGTTTCTCGCCCAAGAGGCGCCCGCTCGTGGTTCGGCGAGTCCGTCGAGGCTTGTCCCGCAAGCAGGGCGGGGCCTCCTCCTCTCCCTCCTCCTCCACCTCCTCCTCCTTCTCCACCTCCTCCTCCTCCTCTTCCTCCTCCTCCTCCTCCTCCTCCTCCTCCTCCTCCTCCTCCTCCTCTGGCGCTGGTGCGGCAGAACGGGGCGGTGGGGCAAGAAGAGGGGAGTGGGCGCCAAGGCATGGGGCGAGAGAGGCACGCAGCGGCGAGCGAGCCAGCACGAGAGGAGGACGGGGACGCTGTGGACAGGGGGTGAGCTGGTTCAGGCAGGCGCGGCGGCGAGCGGGGAGGGGGGCGAAGGGGGGGCGGGGACCGGGAAACGGAAGGACGGACGAAGGGGGGGGCGAAGGGGGGGCGAGTGGGGAGGGGGGCGAAGGGGGGGGGGGCGGGGACCGGGAGAGGGAGAGCAGCCAGCAGCGCTGCGGCGAGGCAGGGACGGCAGCAAGGGAGGGCGACGACATCGTGGACGGGCGGGCGGGGAGGGGGACGGCGGCTGCCGGCGCGCCGCGGGTGCCCTCGGGCTGAGTTGCCACGAACGGCGCAGGCGAACGGGTTCGTCGTCGCCGACGGTCGTGCGTGGGCTGCCCGCGTCGGGTCGCGCGTGAGCGCCCTCGTCTGCAACGCAGCGTGCCGCGCTGGCGGCCCGCGTAGGCCGCGGCGGAGGGTCGCTGCGTCGTCTCGCGCAAAATCCGCCTTTTCTCGTCGCTCGTTTGGCGGAACGGAAAGGGTGGCGGAGCAGGCTCGAGGTAGGCCGGGGAGCAACGGCCCAGGCGAAATCGAAAGGCCACAGGCCGAAGAGAAGTTGCAGGAGGGGCCAGAGGCCGCATCGTTCATTCGAGGACAGCCAACGGCAGCAGTACGGAACCGACACGAAAAATAATTTTGTCCCAGCGGAATTGGGCGAAACTCCGTTCCCACACACAAACTTTTGGAGCTCCGCGCGGATATCTTGGATTGTGGTGGAAGCCCCCTGCAGCAGTCAGAGCTCTAGTACTCCAGGAATTGCAAATACTTGCAACGTTTCGCGGCACGTTATGGACGAAATCGTATTGTAGTGGCGTGAATGTGGGCCGGAGGCCGTGTCGAGTACGTAATTGCAATGCACGAAATAATAGTGGGTGTGGGCCAGAAACCGTGTCGAGTACAGCCTCTCGCCGAAAGTGTGGCGCTGAGTCACAAGGAAGTAAATCAGGACCCGTGTCGAAAGTAGCATGCATAAGTACAACAAGTGGCCATGCTCGTTCTACACTGCGGCAATCCGAGAGGCCGTAGGAAACCGGCTGCGGAATCGTCACGCTCAGAACGGGTGAAGCCGAGTCAGGTAGACAACCACCCCAGTCAATGGTACCCAATGCCTTCGAATTGTAGCAGCATATCTGGCCTGGATATGTCCTCACGCACGTGCGCACAAACGCAGCACACACAAGACAAATACACGACCGCACAACGAGGACACAGCAACAGCACAAATCGCATGACCGCATGACCAGACAATCGCACAAGTGCATTCACGGGCGAACGCTCTTTCGCAGCGAAGCGTACGCATCCGGCCTGGACGCTGTGCGAGAGCCAGCGACATCGCTTGAGTGCGAGAGCGAAGACGTGCACCTCCTTCAAGCTGTGCTCGCATGCGCATGCTCTTCCTCCAGCGGCGGGGTGGTGGCACCGTCGCGAAGCGTTAAGCCGGGAAACGCTCGAGGCGAATCCAGTGCAGGTTCAGCAGGTGGGTGGACGGGACGCGGCAGTCGCGTGCAGAAAAAAGAGGTGTGCCAGGCGAGCGAGCTGGTGTGTGAGAGAGCTCAACAACAGCGCATGCAGGTCGTGGAAAGGGGGGATAGAAAGCAAGGAGGGCTATGGTGATGATGACGATGATGAGGATGAGGATGAGGATGAGGATGAGGATGAGGATGAGGATGATGATGCTGATGATGCTGATGCTGATGCTGATGCTGATGCTGATGATGGTGATGATGATGATGATGATGATGATGATGATGATGATGATGATGATGATGATGATGATGATGACTATGATGATGATGATGGTGATGATGATGAGGATGATGATGATGATGATGATGGTGCTGATGATGATGATGCTGATGATGATGATGATGCTGATGCTGATGCTGATGCTGATGATGATGATGATGATGATGATGCTGATGCTGATGCTGATGCTGATGCTGATGCTGCTGATGATGATGATGCTGATGATGATGATAATGATGATGATGATGATGATGATGATGATGATGATGATGATGATGATGATGCTGGTGATTGTGATGGTGATGGTGATGGTGATGGTGATGGTGGTGGTGATGATGATGGGGGGATACACAGCAAGGAGGACCAAGAGATCCCAGGCCGTGCATGGGACCGGAAAGAGAGGGATCGATTGCAACGACAGGGAGTGCCAGCCGCGTCGGCGCCAGCGGCACTCTCCGAGCGCCAGCGACGCGAGCACAAACGGGACCATCGCCAAGACTGGCAGCATGAGGAGGAGGAGGAGGAGGAGGAGGAGGAGGACGAGTAGAGGAGGAGGAGGAGGAGGAGGAGGAGGAGGAGGAGGAGGAGGAGGAGGACCAGGAGGAGGAGGAGGAGGAGGAGGAGGACCAGGAGGAGGAGGACGAGTAGAGGAGGAGGAGGAGGAGGAGGAGGACGAGTAGCAGGAGGAGGAGGAGGAGGACGAGTAGAGGAGGAGGAGGAGGAGGAGGAGGACCAGGAGGAGGAGGAGGAGGAGGAGGAGGACGAGGAGGACGAGGAGGACGAGGAGGACGAGGAGGAGGACGAGGAGGAGGACGAGGAGGAGGAGCAGGAGGAGGAGGAGGAGGAGGACGAAGACGAGGACGAGTAGAGGACGAGTAGAGGGGGGCGGCGAGCTGTCGTCACACACGCATGCATGCGCACGCGCAGGCACAGAGACTTATCACCATGCACAAGCGTTCGCATGCAAGCACAGGCCAGCGCACCACAATTGCATAGGCGCGCACGACTGCAAACGCGTGATCCCGATGGTTTTTCAGCAAGAGTGTGATCTCGCGTGAACCCAGTAGGGGCCCGATGGTCAGGAAGAAAATGGCTCAATAGGCGAGCGCAGATCTGAAGAGGACCGTGCGGCATCGCCTAGGGCGAGCCGAACCACGTACGGAGTTCTAGGTTGCCAGGGCGATGGGGGTAGCGGTAAGGCGTGGTTAGCTGGAGTCAGCTTTAGCGGGCGATGGGAAGAGCACATTTGAAAGAAACCACGAGGGGAAGTGCGGGTCGTGTTACTGATTGATCTGCCAGTATCCTACGTGCAGCTAGCTGGTCTTGGTACGGTAATCCCAGTGACGCAGGTCATTGCGGTGGGCTGCTCTCGCAAGTCGCCAGATGGATCGTGTCATGTCATGCCGATCCATGTCGAATGGCGTACACCGGCACCGTCATTATGTTGTTGCATGGTTACTCATGATGCCGTTCGGTGCCCATCCTACTTAATGTTGCTACTGCCTCTCATACTGTTCACCCACGCATGGTCGCATTGGTTGTAACAGGGTCGTCGCTGTGACTGAGTATGACATTGTTGGTGGAGCTGGCTGCTCCAATTGGTGCAGATTTCTGCGCAGTGACGTGCTGCAGCGGTGGTACTGTGAAAGTTGCTATGCGTTGACGACGCGACATCTCTCTATATCATGCGCGCGTGTACAGCCTTCATGTGCAAACGCCCACGCTGGCGCGCATAGACTGAGACTCTGTCGACTCGTCGCATGCGGGGACAGGCACGGGAGGCTGCCGTTTGGTGGGCGGGGGCGAGGAATTTCATATGCCAGTACTTCCCGCACGGCACATATGTCATCAGCATGGACGACGATTTGGAGGACATTGTCTGGAAATGCCGGGAGGGCAACGTGGATTCTGTCTCGTCGCTCCCGTGTGGGGCGTTAGAAGCGCTTTTCTTCGACGCGCACTCCCGGATGAAGGAGGTTGGCGCCTTCCTGTGGGGTCCGAGCCTTGATTCCGCCTCCCTCACCACTCGCCTCAGCCTCCCTTCTGGTCCTCATCACATTCATATTTCTCCTCCTCCTCATCAACATCATCATCATCATCATCATCATCATCATCATCATCATCATCATCATCATCATCATCATCATCATCATCATCATCATCATCATCATCATCATCATCATCATCATCTCTTCGTCGTCTTCCTACTGTTCCCGACAAGCTCATAATTTTAGCCAGTGTGGGCGCCAAACGGTGTGTTTCCAGCAACCTACATCGGCGCTCCGAAAGTTTATTCCGATTTGAGAAAAACAGCGCCGCGCGAATGCAGAGCAAACGCGATGCTGGAAGGGCGCGGGAACGCGCGCCTCCTGGACAGGCGCGAGCAACCGCGCCCCCGTGCGAACCCCGATCCCGCGAGCGGCGCGTTCCCTTTTGACAGTGGCTCACCCGGGAAACCGTTTCTTGTGCAGGAAGTCCTGCACGGTCGGCCCATCGGCGGCTCCTTCGGACGAGATCCGGAACCACCGAGAAACCGTTTGCCATCGGATGTTCTAGGCGGTTTGCCCATGTTCGGCTTCTTCGGAGTGGACCCGAAGACGTCGAGATCGATGTTTTTGCGAAAAGTCGTAGGCGGTTCGCACATTTTCGGGTCGTTCGAACTGGACCCGATTTTTTTGGTACAAGTCATATTGATTTGGCCACATTCAGATAGGTCGATAAAATTGTCGGGTCGTCGCATGACCGAACCCGAAAACTTCTTTCGAGGAGGTCCCATGCCGTTTGCTCATTTTCGTGTCCGTGCACCGCTTGGGATTTTTTGAATTTTAAATTCCGAAAGGGAACCCGATCCCGTGACCCCGGGCAGGGGTTGCGCTCTGCCTTTGCATTGTACTGGGCTCCTCTGGCCAAGGGGTGCCAGCCTGCCCATCCGCGCGCCGACTCTGCCCTCGCGACATCACCCCCATCCGCCCTCGGACCCCGCGAGTCTCATCCTGCGCGCGCAATCCCAGATGGTTCCGGTGAGCACGGTGGCGAAAGTGGGGAAACTTTCGGAGCGGCGCAGTATGTTGTGCAATCTACGTGGTGTAATATACGCGGTGCACTCTACGAGGTGCAAGTATGTTCAGTTCACAGTGAGTGTCAACTCCGCTGCTCGCGCAAATCGTCCCACCCACCCGCAACTTGGTTTGCAGAAGCCCATGCGGCGGCGATTGCAATGAGTGCTTGGTGGCTGCTGCATGTCTGCGGCCGCGCTAGACCGCGCATGCTCGCGCGCGTAGCGGCCGTCATGAGAGCCTCTTGGGGCCCTCTTGGCTCGTCTTGGGGCCTCCGTGGCTCCGAAAAAGCCACGCGCCTCCACGCGACGCGGCCCAGGGGGCACGCCGGAAGCCCCAGGAGATTTTGATTGATCCGGCACAATTCGGGCTTGGACCCCTGAAGAGGATCCTCCAGATTGAGGAGTAGGCTTCAGGGATTAGGCCAAGGACCTGAGGACACCCCAATTCGTGCCTCAGGGCACGGTTGCGGATAAGAACGGCGACGGTGTGGGATCATGAAATACGAGGAAGTGTCAGTGAGGGTCCCGCTTTGAAGAAGAAGCGCCTTCAATCCGTGCACATTTTTTCCAATTCGACCACGGCAGTCGCAAGCGATAGCCCCGATTTGAAAAGGAGCCGCCCTCCATAATCTGGGCAGTTGCTGCACAGCATTAGAAATTCGGCCATGAAGCGTAAGGAAGTTTCAAACGAAAGTTATATGCTGAAGAGGAGCCGAGCCGACCTCCATCCGTCTAATTCCTGGAAGCGTTCAAATTGAATGTGGGAGGCGATAAGGCGGTAGTCAGGCTTTGAGAAGGACCCCCCCCTCCATCCGTGTGATTGTTGGAAACTTTGAAGCAAATGTGCGCGGCACCAAGGCGAGAACCACATGTTGAAAAGAAACCGCCCTCCACCCGTAAATACTGCAAATGTTCAAGACAAGTGTGCGCGGCGCCAAGGCGAGAGCCAAACTTTGAAGAGGACCCCCCGCATCTATCCATGTACCTGTTGGGAGCTTTCGAAGCGAATGTGCGAGGCGCTACGGCGAGAGCCGCACTTCGCAAACGGCCCGCCCTCCACCCCTGTAGACGTTAGCGATCGCAAGCTTCAGTGTCGAAGAAGGGGGGAGAAATCCTCGGGCGAAACACCTCGCCCGCCATGCCCAGGGCTGGACCTAAACGCTGTTTTGCTGGATTTCGGCTGTGTTTTGTTTTTCGCTTCGGCAGGGAGGTACAGGAACACAGGTGGAGCAAAACGAACAAAACAACGAACACAAAACGAACAACAACGTTTAGCTCCAGCCCTGGCCCTGCCGGCGCGTCTGGAGTGATCAGAAAGGACAAGGGTTGGAGGGGGCCTTGGTGGGGCGCGCCCGCTCGGAAGCGCCGCGGGCTGGGGTGCGGGCGCGTCCTTTGCGCCGTGGCCGCTGGAAAGGCCGTGCAGATGCGCGGGTTGGTATCGCTCGGACGTGCACTTTTTCTCTCGGCGGGGATTCTTGAGGAGCATCCTGGATAATCCTGTGAAAAACAACGCACGAAACCAAAAAAAACACAGGGAATGGACGTCCGAGCGACGGGGGGAGAGCTGGGGGCTCCTGCGAGACCTGGACCGCCTGGCCGACGAGAAGCGGACCCAGACCTCCAGCGTATCGAGAAACTCGAGGCGGAGGTTTCTAGCTGTTTTCGGCCTTCGCAGGGCCCTCGCCGGGCCCTGGGGCTGTCAACAAGACGAGACGATTCGGGGCGCCAAACCGGCCCCAGGGAAGAGGAAGAAGAGGAGGAGGCGGAGGAGGAGGATGATGATGATGATGAGGAGGAGGAGGAGGAGAGGAGGAGGAGGAAGAGGGGGAGGAGGGGGAAGTTGGAGGAGGAAGTGGAGGAGGAGGAGGAGGAGGAGAAGGAGGAGGAGTATGGGGGGGAGGGAGGAGGAGGAGGAGGAGGAGGAGGAGGAGGAGGAGGCGGAGGAGTATGGGGGGGGGGAGGAGAGGGATTAGGAGGAGGAGGAGGAGGAGGAGGAGGAGGAGGAGGAGGTCTGGGGACGCCGCACTCAGAGGCGCAAGACGTCGGATGCCTGGGGGATGGCGACGCGCCGACGACGGCTCCTGGCCACACTGCGCCAACGTGGCCGCGTCCCGCCGTGCCGTCGCGCGCGGGGCAGGAGCGAGTGGCTCATTGCTTGGGTCGGTGGCGCTCGCCCGCAAGCATTTGTGAGTTCTTTACGTCGCCGAAGTCCCCGAAGGGGCGAGTGCCTCGGGGGGAATCGCTGCCCAAGCAGCTCCTAACCTCGCGGTGAGCTGCCGAAGCAGGCGAGGCTTCGCCTGGGAGGGGGCTGGCCAGGATCTCCCGCTCCCGTCTGTCCGTCGGGCGCTCGGCGCCGCCCGGCGGGCGCCGAGGGAGTGGTGGGCGCGGAGGGAGTGCTCGCAGCGCTCGGGCTCCACGGTGTTTGGGCGATTTCGCGGGCCGTTTTCGCTTTGGCCTCGGGCGGCTGCAAGGGCGGAGCCGAAGACAGGTCGAGGGGAAGCGAAGACGGGACGAAGACGAGAAGCGCAGCACCGGAGGGTGATCGTCGGAGGGGGAGCGATCGTCGGAGGAGGGCCTGCGGAGACAACGGCGGCCTTCGTCACGAGCGGCGAAGGTGTCCGTACAGTCGGGCCGGATTAGTAGGTCGACCCTGCCAGATCAAGGGTGCCTTTTGTGTCCTGTGGTTCGCGGCCCACGCTGTCTACATTCCTACGGCGATGTGGCCCTCGGAAGGGTCTTGTGTCCTCTCGCGTGTCCTCTCCAATCGAGTCCGACTGTGTCCGCGCCCTCGCGGTCCAGGGCGCGATCCCTCGCGGTCCAGCCCTGGCCGCAGCAGCGCGGGAGGCACCACCTCAGTGCTGAGGCACGCGCCACGGCGGTTCAGCGGCCAGCCGCGTCTGCCCATCATTAAGTCGGGCGTGTCCCTCTACAGGGGCAATATTCAAAAATAGTACAAAAATAGTCTGGGGACGATTGTTTGACCATTTTTGGGTATTTTGGGGGTATTTTTGGAGTATTTTTTTTTCGCCCAAAATCCCCCTGTAGGGGGACAGGCCCGATTTAAGCCTATCAGTGCGGCCGGGCCCGCGCCCATGGCCACACCCTCGAGAGGCACTCGGCGAGGGGCATCTTCCAGGATCTCCTCTGGGGCAGTCGGATACCCAGGCGCCGTCCGAGTGGACGGTGTGCCGGGAACTGGGCGAGGACGCCTTGGGAGAACTCGTCTTCCCAGAAGTTCTCAGAAGTGCACCGTTTGGTCTGCGTCCCCCGCAGGGAGGCCGAGATCCCCGTCGTCATCCCAATCGATGTCGGGCAAGAAGGCGAGGAGGCTTGAGGGACGTGAGGAGGCGAGCGGCACTCGGAGACGGCTCCGCCAACGCGTCGCTCGAAGGAGCCAATCGGCAGCCTGTCTGGGGGAAGTCTGGGGCCGCGCGGGTTTCCTGACATCCCCGCGGCGATCAGCACACCCTCGAAGGCGCTCGAGAAAGCGCACCCTGCCGTCATGGCGTTTCGTGGAGAGGTCGAGGTCCCCATCGTCGTCCCAGTCAACGGCATGCTCGACGCCCCGAGAAAAGCTTTCGCGACGGGCCTCAAGGACAGCAGGCCGTGGCACCAGTTCAATCATGGAACGTTGAGGGCCCCATCGTCGCCGTCCACATCGACGGCCAGCATCCAGCATCCAGATCCACAGTCAGCCGGCGCCCGGTGGATGCTGCTCTTCTTCCTCCTCCTCCTCCTCCTCCTCCTCCTCCTCCTCTTTGCAGGCGGGAGCGAGTCTCAGTCTCCCGCCAGGTTTCCTCCTCAGAACCTTCCAATCGTGCTGAATAGTAGGCAGGCGTGGACCCCCATTCGTTTTTTTGCTCCTCTGGGAGAGCGGTTGCGGTGTCCCGCTTTGGGAAGCACGGGGGGGCAGACGCCCGCGCGGGCAGCCAGAGTTCGCCGAGAACTTCAGGACCGCGGCACGTAACTGGTGCCCTGATTGGATCGAGGCATGGCCCGGTGCCCGATGCCTGTCATGCTGTGTCAGTGTCTGCGCAGCTCGTCCAGCAGGCCTGGCCGTGCGTGGGCGTCACGCATATGCACTCCACTCCTCCTTGATGGGGCGGGGGGGGCACGATGCGTCCGCCCGTGGTCATGGATGCCGACGCTGTTTGTGTCCGAGTCCACGTGTCCTTCGGGACCCCGGCCGTTGCTTCTGTCAGCGGTGCTGCAGTTCGGGCTGCGAGCTCAGGCCTGAGCCCTTCTTGCCATCCACGCGAAGCCCGGCGGCAGAGGCAGCGAAAGAACGCACACACGTACACACGTATGCACACGCAGCGTAGGCGGGGAGGGGGAACGAAGACGCCAAGGTGCGCCAACGGGCCAAGAGGACAGCACTCGGTGGCAAGGCGAGGCACAGCGGAACCAGGAAGGCCGGCGAGGACGAGAAGCAGCAGCACACGTACACGCACGCACGCACGCACGCACGCACGCACGCATACTCGAACGCACACACACAGACAGACAGACACACACACACACACGCACGCACGCACGCACGCACACACGCACACACGCACACACGCACACACGCGCACACGCGCACACGCACACGCGCACACGCGCACACGCACACACGCACACACGCACACCACACGCACACACGCACACACGCACACACGCACACACGCACACACGCACACACGCACACACGCACACACGCACACACGCACACACGCACACACGCACACACGCACACGCACACGCGCACACGCACACGCGCACACGCGCACACGCGCACACGCGCACGCGCAGGCGCACGCGCACGCACAAGCGCACGCACACACACACACACACACACACACACACACACACACACACACACACACACACACACACACACACACACACACACACACACACACACACACACACACACACACACACACACACACACACACACACACACACACACACACACACACACACACACACACACACACACGCACACACGCACACACGCACACGCGCGCGCGCACGCACGCACGCACGCACGCACGCACGCACGCACGCACGCACGCACGCACGCACGCACGCACACATACACGAACGGGAAATGCACGAGGCTCGGAGCGCTCGACGCCCCTGGCGGCCTGGCGCCGCGCGCAGTGGGGAGCCCTTCGGGGTCGCCCGGGAGCTGAGGTCTCAACACGTCCCAGAACCCGCAGAGCATGATGACTTCCACGGTGTCTATGAGGAACGGCCTGGTGAACGGCTACCTGCACGGCTTCCTCAGCCGGCCGTCGTGCAAGGAGCTGCTCCGCACGGGGCCGGACGCTGTGGAGGACGCGGAGTTCAGCGTTAGGAATTTCGCGAAGGATCGGGTCGTGCTCCGTTACCGCATGTACGCGGGCGGCACGAGGTGCTATCTGGGAGGCTGGCGCATGTCCGTCTGTGCCTCCAGCGACCTCCCTCTTCTCTGCCTGGTTACTCCTCCTGCCTTTCTCCCTCACGGCTGATTTCTGGAATTTTCACTTGCGGACCAGTAGTATCAAGACGGCAATTTAGCAGGATAGGGACGGCCTTGGAATAATGGTAGATGTTCAACTCTTCAGGTGGTCGGTTCGTCCCGTTTTCCCTCATTTCTTTTTCTATCACGTCCAGTTCGAGAAGATCTGCTTGGAAATGGATTCCGCGCTCGCGTCGGGCCCGCGTCCTTTGCGGCGTTCTTTATCATGGTTCCAGTGGCAGTTGCTGTCTGCCTTCGCCGTCTCAGATCCCGCATGGCTGCATGCTTGTTTGTTGCGAGCTTGCGCTATGACATGCTTCCTCGTTTCTCTGGCCAGCGAATGCATTAGAGGTATCAGTTGTATTACGAAACGTCGTTTTTGGACGCAGACTGCCACACATGTGCCGCAGGCGTGCCGTGCCGCGCTGGGTCGTCAGAGTGCGAAACATGCACCGCGCGGTGCCGTGCAGTGCCTGGTCTTTCGGCTGTGCCGCGCCGTGCCCCACCGCGCTGCGCCGCGGACTTTCAGCATGCGCAAACTCTGCAGTTCCGTGCCGTGCCGTGCTTGGTCGACGGCGACGGCGACGGCGACGATTGTGAGTTCGTCTGGCGACGACGACGGCGGCGGCGGTGGCGACGGCGGCGGCGACTGCGACGGCGATGGCGATCCGCACTGATCCATTATCATATTGAATTAGGTGCCGGAGAGTGGCAAGGTAGTTCGTGCACGGTTGGGCAGCCGCCCAGGCGCGCCAAGCGTCGCATAATTTTAGGCCGTTGTGTGGCCCACTTCGGCTCGGCGTGCGTGCAGGACCTGATGATGTGACTGCATGTGACTGTCTTGGGTACGATGTGCACGCACGTGCCCCGCATGACAAATGCACACTTCCATCTCTAATTTGTTTCGCAGGTTCTAGCTTTTGGAATGTGGCTTCTCAGCCCAGAGACGCCCAGCATTCCGCTTGCTGCATACCTGAATAATCTTGCGTTTTGTTGGACAATGTGGCGTTCGTTCTGGCAGTGTCTTTGATCAGCTTGGGGCGCTGTTTGGGCCCTCTTGGGCCGTGCGATGTTATCTTCGGCCCATCTTGGGACGTGGGGCCCTGTTGGATTGACTGCAGAGGCAGTTGGCGGCCTATCTCAGCCAATATTGGAGCCTCTCGTGGCGGTCTTGGGATCCTGTTTTGGGTCGTCGAGCCATCATGGGGCCTGTCGAGCAGTGTTTTGCCTGTGCAAGGCCAATTTCGAGTAGCCTTGGACGGAAAGCGCGACCGAAACGAAACAAGCAATAGTGTCCGTCCCATGGTTCTGGTCCGCCAGAGGACGAAGTTATCACCTTGGGGCCAGATTTGTGGGTGTTCGTGTCGTCGTGTTTTTTTTACGGGCGTCTAGACGTCAGGGTCTATCCCGGGGCCGTATCGATATTGTTTTGGGCTGTGTTGACAAGCCATCTGTCTTATGCCTGGACCCTCCACCCCCTCCAGCCAGAGTTCTTTTCTTCCTTCCGCGAGGGGTCCACTTTCGCGGCGAGTCCTTAAACCCGGGACCCTTGGCGGCGCATCGATTTGATTATTTCTTCCGCGCGCGTATTGCTTTTGGAACCCCTGAGCCCCTCCAGCTAGAGTGCACCTAGTATTTGAGTACAACGGGCACCATCATGTGCTAACGCGCAGCTGCTCCTAGAGTGCACTAGGTCATGCAGCACAACATGTCTTATCGAATTGCGATTGAGGCGTTTAAGGAAACAGTATATCGGCTCCTGACTTTGGAATCAGGAAATACTGTCGGATCGCGACTTGGGAGCACGGAAGCGCTATAGAATCGCGATCAACGAGCACGGAGACATTATAGAATGTCGATTTTGGAAACAGGACACACAATAGCGTGCAAGTAATTTTAGTATAATTCCATAGCACAACTACATGTCGAGTGATGAGGCATTACATTTACAATGCGGGTTTTCGCGCGTTTCCTCCTCTGGTTGCGCTGGCGGGGTGGGACCCCGTGCGCCAGCACCCCGCGGCTGAGAGTTGATTCCTCTTCCGGAATGCAGGGGTAGCCCCCGTGCCCGAACCCCTCGCCACGCATGTCTTTGTTTCTTCCACGGAAACCAAACGCCCTGGGTTCCTCGGCGCGCCCCGGGAACGTTTTCCTTCCGGATGCCCCCCCACGGGCCCTATCTTGCAGTCGCCCAGGTGATTTGTCGATATAGTTTGAGCGACCGAGGACTCCGTGGGAAAAGGAAGTACGAGCCCGCCCCGCGACCGCTCAGAATTCAAGTAGACATTGGGAGGGTGATACGTTACTTGAGAGCGCCCAGCCAAGGCCAACATTGATCTGGCCATTTGGTGTGGGCGCGCATCCCTCTTCATTTGGGCACACACAAATGAGATCCGTCCAGGGCCTGCTGGGACTGCCTGGAGGCATACCCGGACTCGCACTGGGTCGTTCTTCGGGCATGTTTTGGCCGCTTTGGGGCTGCCTCGAATCACGCTGGACGCCCATCTGAACCTTTCGAGCGCCGCGGCGGGATCCCGCCAGGCTGTTTTGGAGGCTCTTGGAGCAGCTCGGGGGAAGCAGTCGATGCATCTTGGAGCCGTCCGATTCGGTGCCTCTTTTCATATCCGATCTCAAGGAGCTTTTAGGAAGGTTTGGCAATTCAACTACTCCACTCGCTGACAGTATACTGCGCGACACCGTCGTGCACCGTTGAATTCCGTCAGGTACAGTCGTATACGCACCGTCGGCACAGCGCGCCATGCCGCCGAATCAGATTGTAGATTGTTTTCCGAATTGTTTGCGATTGCTCTCGCGCGTGCCATTCAATAGGGGCCATGTTGTCAGCGCCAGGTGGGCAGCGGTACTGAGCCGTATTGAGTGGTACACAGTGCCAATCCATTTCTTCGAGATTTGTGCAGTCGGCGATTCGAGAAATACACGGTTTCGGTTGGGAAGGGGCCCAGTGGTTTGTAGCTTTGCTTTTGGGCCCCAGCAGAACGCCTCACTCGTATTTGGGAGCATTGGGCGTCCTAAGTCATGCCGTCGGAAAGTTTGGTACGTGTGGCTGCTTACAGCAAGGCTGTGTGTGCTTTCTGAGGCTTGACATTGGGCGACAGTGCGTGCCGCATTGGCCTGCCCTACTTGGGGCCAGCTGGATCTCAACGGAGGAGGTTTGCAGGCCAAGTTCGAGGAGGGTGTCCAAGTTAGTCTCGACCGCGGTGGGGAGGGGGCGGGGGGGAGCAGAAGAGCAGTAAGCAGGTGCAGCGACAGCAAGTGGGGGAGCACAAGAAGGCGGTCAGGTGGAACGGACAAGGATGAGGAGAGGGATGATGATGCGTGGGTGCAGGAGGAATCTGAATTAGTCTAAGGTGTTAGGGGGAGGATGGGAAGGGTAAAGCCAGTCTTTAGTGCTCTTAAGGCTGTTACTGGCAGCCGTTGCGCATTTGTGGTTGTTTGAACTATTTCGGTGTGTCAAAGGAGAAGGTCAAGAGGATAACGACGATGAGGAGTGATGGGGGGAAGATGAGGTGGATGAGGAAGACGAGGAGGAGTGGGTGCGGGAGGATGGTGGGGACCTCAAGAGGGGAACGCATGTTGTTGTTGGCGTTGTTGTTGGTGGTAGTGTTGATGTTGATGGTGTTGTTGTTGCTGATGAGGATAATGACGATGTTGTTGCTGATGTTGGTGCTGGTGCTGATGGTGATGGTGATGCTGATGATGCTGATGATGATGATGATGATGATGATGATGATGATGATGATGATGATGATGATGATGGTGATGGTGATGGTGATGGTGATGGTGATTGTGATGGTGGTGATGGTGGTGGTGGTGGTGGTGGTGGTGGTGGCAATGAGGATGATGAAGATGATGAGGAGGACGCGGAGGAGGAGGCGGTGGAGGAGGATGAGGCGGAGGCCGAGGATGAGGAGGAGGTCAGCGAGGAGGAGGGGGAGGAGCAGGTGCAGCAGGAGCATGCGGAGGACGCAATGCCAAGCCGTGTATGCTGACGATGGCGAGGATGAGGATGATGAGGAGGAGGATGAGGAGGAATCGGAATCGGAACAGACGCGAAGCGTCACAAAGGAGGATGAGGAGGAGGAGGAGAAGGAGGGGGAGGAGGAGGATGAGGAGGAGGAGGCGGAGGAGGAGGAGGAGGAGAGAGAGTGAGGTTGATGACGAGGACGATGTCAAGATGTAAAGGATCAGGGTGAGTGGACAAGGGGGCATAGGTCAGGAGGAAGTGGGATACGGGGAGGGGGAAGAGGAAGTCGAGCAGGAGGAGGAGGAGGAACATGACGATGAGGACGAGGGCGACCAGGAGTTGATGTAGCAGAAAGAGTAGGTGTCCCAGGTGCAAGGCGAAGCACGACATGGGGCGGAGGCGGAAGCATGGGGGAGGCACAGCGGCAGTAGGAGCACGCGCAGTAGGATCAAGTGGACGAGCTGGATGAGGATGAAGAGGATGTTGAAGAGGAGGATGAGGAGGAGGATGCGATGGATGAGGAAGAGGATGATGATGCTGATGATGATGATGATGATGCTGATGATGATGATGGTATTGATGCTGATGATGGTGAGGAGGAGGAGGAGGAGGTGGATGGGGAAGATGCTGATGATGCTGATGATGCTGCTGAGGATGATGATGAGGATGACGATGATGATGGTGATGATGGTGATGATGGTGATGATGATGATGATGATGATGATGCTGGCGGTGATGATGGCACTGGTCCTTATGCTGCTGACGATGATGATGCTGCTTATGATGGTGGTGGTGGTGATGGTGGTGGTGATGCTGATGATGATGGTGATTAAGCTGGCGGTGATGATGGTGATGATGATGCTGATGCTGGTGGTGATGATGATGGATGATGATGATGATGATGATGACGATGACTATGGTGGTGGTGAAGATGATGATGGCGGTGGTGGTGGTGGTGGTTGTGGTGGTGCTGATGGTGGTGATGATGATGGGGAGGAGCAGGCGGAGGAGGAGGAGGTCGGTAAGACGACAGAGGGATGATGAAGATGCGGAGGATGATGATGAGGAGGAGGATGAGGAGGATGATGACACTGCTGCTGATGCTGCTGATGATGATGGCGATGCTGCTGATGATGATGCTGAAGATGATGATGATGATGGTGATAATGATGAGGATGATGATGCTGATGATGGTGATGGTGTGATGCTGATTGTGCTCATCTTGATGTGGATGCTGATGATGTTGATGCTGATGCTGATGGTGTTGATGCTGATGCTGATGCTGCTGCTTCTGATGCTGATGATGCTGCTGCTGATGCTGATAATGTTGCTGCTGATGATGCTGCTGATCGATGATGCTAATGCTGATGATCATGATCTTGATCTTGATCAGGGAGGAGGAGGATGACGAGGATGATGACACTGCTGCTGATGCTGCTGATGATGATGGCGATGCTGCTGATGATGATGATGATGATGGTGATAATGATGAGGATGATGATGCTGATGATGGTGATGGTGTGATGCTGATGGTGCTCATCTTGATGTGGATGCTGATGATGTTGATGCTGATGCTGATGGTGTTGATGCTGATGCTGATGCTGCTGCTTCTGATGCTGATGATGCTGCTGCTGATGCTGATAATGTTGCTGCTGATGATGCTGCTGATCGATGATGCTAATGCTGATGATCATGATCTTGATCTTGATCAGGGAGGAGGAGAATGAGGAGTAGGAGAAAGATTACGAGGAGGACGTGGTCAGGAGGATAATGATTACGAGGGGGACAAGGAGCTGCAGCACGCGGAGTCTGCGCCAGCAAGTGAAGGAGCAAGACGAGGAAGACATGAAGAGTAGGAGTGTGCGAATGAGCTCCCAAGCTTTTGTTGGCCTCATCAATCACCCAGCCCCGCCCCTTTCACCACATGAGGTGACAGGCAACACAGCTGAGCACGCACACGAAAGATATCTTATCAACCCTTACTCTAATGCCAATCTACCTCCCTTTCATGTTACCCCCCCCTAGGGAGCGGAGAAAGAGGAGGAGGTGGAGGAGAAGGAGGAGGATGAAGAAACGCGCCAGCAGGACATGCGTCCGCCATACTCATTTCGGCACGCCCCTCATGCGCTTCGTGGCCCCATAGGGAGCTCCACCCAAGGCCCCAGTGGCACCGTGCACATGCGTCCGCCACACCCATGTTGGCACACCCCTCATGCGTTTCGTGGCCCCATAGGGAGCTCCACCCAAGGCCCCAGTGGCACCCTCCACATGAGTCCGCCACACCCATGTTGGCACATCCCTCACACGTTTCGTGGCCCCATAGGGAGCCCGACCGAAAATGATACTCACGACGGCGGTGCTCGCAGCTGCATATGGTTGGGTTCTTCGCCAGGCTAATTTTTGTTTGTGCTTCCTTTTACTCGCGCCATGGAATCGAGACCGCGGGGGGCGCGGAGATGTGGACACGCTCGCCGCTGGTCACGGGGGGAGGGGGCGGGGCGGGAGCGGAGGCGTCGCCCGCAAGAGCCAGGAGCGGCTGGGCGCCTTCAGGCGCCCTCACCCCCCCCCGCGGCGGCAAGTGTGTGTGTGTGTGTGTGGCTGCGTGTCTCCCCGCCTTCAGTCCCGGTTCGGTTCTGGCACCCTCCGCCTCACGGTAGCCTCGTCTGCTCGCCGCCGCTTCCCCGCCATCCGTGCCCTGGTGGTTATGGCTGCTGGCGGCTGCGAGGCCTGAAGTGGTCTCTGAGGGCTCGGCCAGGCGTAGACGCGCGCGCGCGCCTCATTTTTGTTCCAACCTTCTACGCCCTGTCGCCACGAGCAAGGCCGCGACGCCAAAAAGTAAGTGTGTGTGTGTGCGTGTGTGTGTGTGTGTGTTTATGCGCTGAGCGCGAGCTAAATGGGGCTCCCTCGATTTGGTGGACCGTTTTCGTTTTGATTTCGTTTGGTACCAAATGCAGAGGGACAGCGAAAACAAAACGAACATGGAAACCGCAATTCAGCCCTCGCCCCGTGTTTGCGTGTGCGTGCGTGCGTGTGCGTGCGTGCGTGCGTGTGTGTGTGTGTGTGTGTGTGTGTCTGTGTGTGTGTGTGTGTGCGTAGGGGGGGTCGGGTGCATCTTGGGAGGTAAAGTTTAGCATTGGCGCTGGTATATCCGTGATCGAAAACATGTATAATCCGGCACAGTCTTTTTTATTCCGCTGAATCCCGCTTAATCCGTCGCGGTCCAGGTGAATTCTGGGCTGGATCTGGGCTGATTCGGCTTCACGGCCCCTTGAAAATCGGACGCGACGGCCTGTCACCCTTCGCGCGGACACTTCCCGGGAGGTGCCTCCTGGATGGGAGGGAAGTCCGAGGCGTCCGCCTGCCGCCGTTTTTCGGGCCAGGCGCCGCGCCCCGCGCGCCAGGCGCCGCCCTCGCCTCTGGGCAGGGGGGCGCCGCGGACGCAGGTCGCGGCAGCACGCTTTACCACACGTCGACAAGATCGCGCGTCGCTGTGGGCAGGCCCTCGGAGTGCGTGCTTGAGCAGTTCCCCCCCGTCCCCACAACCTGACATTGGGGCATGCGAAGAGGAGCTGCCAAAATCCCCGGGCGATCGGCACAATCTTGCGCCACCGAGCTGTCTCGGCGACGCCGGAGCGCAGCCAATATTTGATTGGGAGGAGGGGGGGAGCAAGACACATCGATGACAAAACGGCTTCCGATGTCGTGGGCGCCAGGTGGTGCAACGTTTTGTCCATGTACTGTACATTCCGCGGTTTCCTTGTAAGCGCGCGGCATGGGACGCCTTCCAATCTTTGACGCGTTCCGCTTCCGCGGCCTCCGCGGACGCAGGCCACGACGCCTTTCCGTTTCTGGCGTGGTCGTGGCCCTAGGGGAGGGTTGGGAACCCCCATCCACGGATTGCATTTCGCCCAGGGCTTCAAGACGGCGGTGGTGGTTCCCCGATCGGACCTCCGTGGGCGTGGTTGTCGGCGAGAGCGTGGCCCAGAGGCCGAATCAGCCCCCGAGCGACAAATTCATCGCTTCGCCGCTTGGGGTAACGTTACTGCAAGGTGATGTGCATAGTTTTGTATGGCGTCGTCTGGGCATGTGTGTCTGGGCGCCGTGGGCGCCGTCAAGCAGAGCTTTCACGAGCTCAGAGCCAGGGTTGTGCAGGCACAACATATTTTGCAGTCGATACAGCAGATGGTCACCTCTACTGGTAAGGAGCCCAGGGAGGGGCGAC